TACGGAAAATGTAGTCTAAAAATATACGTAAAATGTAATCTAAAAATATATGTAAAATGTAGTCTAAAAATATACGTAAAATGTAATCTAAAAATATATGTAAAATGTAGTCTAAAAATATATGTAAAATGTAATCTAAAAATATACGTAAAATGTGGTCTAAAAATATACGTAAAATGAAGTCTAAAAATATACGGAAAATGTAGTCTAAAAATATACGTAAAATGTAATCTAAAAATATATGTAAAATGTAGTCTAAAAATATACGTAAAATGTAGTCTAAAAATATACGGAAAATGTAGTCTAAAAATATACGTAAAATGTAATCTAAAAATATATGTAAAATGTAGTCTAAAAATATACGTAAAATGTAATCTAAAAATATATGTAAAATGTAGTCTAAAAATATATGTAAAATGTAGTCTAAAAATATACGTAAAATGTAATCTAAAAATATATGTAAAATGTAGTCTAAAAATATACGTAAAATGTAGTCTAAAAATATACGTAAAATGTAGTCTAAAAATATACGTAAAATGTAGTCTAAAATATACGTAAAATGTAGTCTAAAATATACATAAAATGTAATCTAAAAATATACGTAAAATGTAGTCTAAAAATATACATAAAATGTAATCTAAAAATATACGTAAAAAGTAGTCTAAAAATATGCGTAAAATGAAGTCTAAAAATATACGTAAAATGTAGTCTAAATATATACGTAAAATGAAGTCTAAAATATAAATAAAATGTAGTCTAAAAATATACGTAAAATGAAGTCTAAAATATACATAAAATGTAGTCTAAAAATATATGTAAAATGTAGTCTAAAAATATACGTAAAATGTAGTCTGAAAATATACGTAAAATGAAGTCTAAAAATATACGTAAAATGTAATCTAAAAATATATGTAAAATGTAGTCTAAAAATATACGTAAAATGTAGTCTAAAATATACGTAAAATGTAGTCTAAAATATACATAAAATGTAATCTAAAAATATACGTAAAATGTAGTCTAAAAATATGCGTAAAATGAAGTCTAAAAATATACGTAAAATGTAGTCTAAATATATACGTAAAATGAAGTCTAAAATATAAATAAAATGTAGTCTAAAAATATACGTAAAATGAAGTCTAAAATATACATAAAATGTAGTCTAAAAATATACATAAAATGAAGTCTAAAATATACATAAAATGTAGTCTAAAAATATATGTAAAATGTAGTCTAAAAATATACGTAAAATGTAGTCTAAATATATACGTAAAATGAAGTCTAAAATATAAATAAAATGTAGTCTAAAAATATACGTAAAATGAAGTCTAAAATATACATAAAATGTAGTCTAAAAATATACATAAAATGAAGTCTAAAATATACATAAAATGTAGTCTAAAAATATATGTAAAATGTAGTCTAAAAATATACGTAAAGAATAAAAATTTGTAAACAATACAATACAATGACATTAAGAGTATATGGCAATGAGTGAAAACCAGAGTTGTGCAGATATGGAACAGTATATAGTGCAAAAAGGCTCGAACCCCCGCCCCACATGCTGGAATCGTTGCCAGTTCATTCCACTGTGGCGACCCCTGATAAATAAATCTAAGCCAAAGGAAATGAATGAGTAATTAAACGTGCATCCTCACAAGCATTACAGTGAGATCACGTCGCATTAATCATCCTCTGTGGCTAGTAATTATCTCAGCAGGGCGAACTGAGATGTTTCATGATGAAACCCCAAGTGTGTTAAATGACTCAGGACAGCCGTACACACATGGAAATGAGGCTTGTTAAATAAAACGAATGAGCTAAATTAGTAGGTCAAGTGCTTCTGTTTGCTACATATCTGGAGTTGTACATATGTGCTGGGCTGTTTGGCAGTATAGTCGAGTGAATGAGTCATAAAGTGAATGACTTTGAGGTAGGCTACATCCCGCGGTAATAACAGCAGCCCCAAGTCAAGTATTCTGTACTTAGGATTAATTTCAGGCAATTTCCTGGCTTTACATCTAAACTGGTCTTTTGTGCAATGTTTACGGGTCCCTGAACGCTTCAGCTTTATTGTAATGTAGACATTTTTCAGATTTTTGTTTATTTTTAACCATTTTATGTTCACTCTTGCAGGTTACTCAATGATTAAAACGTTTACTCTACATTGTTAATATATCTGTTAATTAACAGGTTGTCAATACGAATATGTTGCATTTTATAGATGAAGGAGAGACTAGTGATCACTGTTTTGAGTTATCCAGTGATGTAAACTTCTCGATTCATGAAGACCACAATATTATTAAATATTACAAATATAACATTATTTACGTACAGCAGCAATAAATATGTATACAATAGTTCTGTCTGGTTCTCGAATCTGATTGGCTGATAGCCAACCGTACACTCTCATTACCCTTTTTGTATTACTCCGCCCACATACAGCCAGCAAAAATCAGACCCTACAGATCTAAAGCTTAAAAGACGCACGCTCAGCTGTTTAACTGTCTGCTTATGATTTGAATCCGACGCGGAAGAAAGTAGTTCCTCATACAAAAGGGTTTTTGAGACTCTCTATGTTTGATTTTGTTTTTATATACACAACTATGCCGTCAAACTGATGTATAAACGCAATATCACACTTATAGCAGTGCGATATGGCTATATATCGACACTGGTGGGAGCACTAAGGCAATACAGCCATATCGCACTGCTACTGAGTGTGATATTGCTCATATATATATATATACTGTATATATATATATATATATATATATATATATATATATATATATATATATATATATATATGATGTTGCATTAAGCGAATATTTTCCGTCATTAACGGATTTTTTTCAGCAGTGACGGAAAAATCTGAAGGTGATCCGTCATTTTGATCTATTGTAATTTGTAGCTAACTGTAATTCCCACTCCTGTCCAGCTGATGGCGATTGCCCTGGTCTTGTCTCCTCTTTGTCACTGAGTGCGTACAGTTGCAAAAATGTAACAGCAGCTAAGTGTGAGAAGTTTCTTTAAATGGTCAAATAGTTGTGATATTAACAATGAAGGTGAAAGAAGAGGAAGTGATGCAGTGGACGATGAAGAACAAACAGACAAAAATCCTCACGGCCGGGTCAACCTAGCGACAGCAAGAAGGTTGGGTGCTTTGGAGTGTGTTGTGAGCACTAACGAACGAAGAGGGGTGCAGCAACGAAAATATGCAAATTAAATGAAAGTCAATAATAGGCTATGACAGAATTTTTACAACCATCTTCGTCAAAATGACGGACAATGACAAAGTCTAACGTGACCTCTGATATATAAATATTTATATATATATATATATATATATATATATATATATATATATATATATACACATACATACAGTTGAAGTCAAAATTATTCACCCTCTTGCGAATTTAAATTTTCCCAAATGATGTTTAATAGCGCGATTTTTTTCACAGTAATAATATTTTTACTTTATAATATTTATACCTATAATATTTTTACTTCTTTTGAAAATCGTTTATGTTTTATATCGGCTAAAATAAAAGCAGTTTTTAATGTTTTTAAAACCATTTTAAGGTCAATATTATTAGCCCCCTTAAGCAATTTGTAGATATTTTTGTCTGAAGAACAAACCACCGTTGATGATTTGCCTAATTTCCCACTTATCCTCCTAGGGCTTGATTGTCCACATACATGGGCAGCACATTTGAGCTCTTAAGTGGCTATTTAAAATACGTTAAATGAATTATATTTTGTTACAGACATACAGTGTCGTCCTGCAACTGTTTTGCAGCCTATGAAATGTCCCAAACACTATTTTTAACTGTCCAAAATGGGGGGAAAAGGCTGTGTTTACTATCTGATAGTCAAAGCAAATAAAAAAAATTCTATGTTCTTTCATTCATTTTCTTGTCAGCTTAAGGCTGATTTATACTTCTGCGTCAAACGCCGGCGTATGCTACAGCGCTGACGCATAGCCCTGCGCCGTGGCCGTTGCTGACGTGCACCTCTCAAAAAATGTAACTACACATAGCAACGACGCGTAGCGTAAGCTCTGTGATTGGTCGGCTTGGTAGCGCTGACAAGTCTGGGCGGGACCGAGAGCCGCGCGAATGGCGTGAGCGATTGTTTACAAGTGTGGAGTCCCGTGAAGGAGCTCCGGATGGAAAGTTTTGTTTTGTGTTTACCTCATAGTTAAAGTTGTTGCTCATCCGCCGGTTCCTGCCTCAAAATGAGCGAGTATGAGCCACTTGTACATCCCGGAAGTGTTCAGGAAAAGCAATAAAGCAGCCAAGAAACTCGACACAGAGGAACATTTCCACCTCACTGCCAACTAGCGTTTCGGAAGTGTTAATGCAGACCAACAGAGACAGCGCGCAGAAGTATAAATTTACAGCCACGCGCGTTGCATGCGCCGTGGGTTACGCCGGTCACATGACGCAGAAGTATAAATCAGGCTTAAGTCAATTTATTAATCCGGGGTCACCACAGCGGAATGAACCGCCAACATATCCAGCACGTTTTTACGCAGCAGATGCCCTTTCAGCCGCAACCCATCTCTGGCAAAAATTTCTATGTTAAATTTGCATTTAAAAAAAATCAGGAATAAGGGTTTTATGTAAATTGGGACCACAAGTCCACATATATGGACATAATTAATAAAGATGACACTTTGGTTTTTATTCCAATTAGGTTCCAATAAGCCCAAATAGCAAAGAGAAATAAAAAATGCATATAAAAAAACACCTTGGGCCTTAAGAGGATATAACCAAGAAAGTCTAAAACACACTGTGCAACAATAAGCACTGAACAGGCCCTAAATATTCAGTGTGTTTTCAGTGCCGTGATTGATCATCTGTCAGTGATCTGGTTTTGTGTTATTGAGGCTTTCCAGTCAGTGGGTCAGTAATGGTATCCTCGGCTGCAGGCGCTGCGCTGTTCGTCTTGGGTGTGGTGCTTCCTTAACCGTTCTTCTGTTTGGCTTTTGTCAGATAACACCTGCGAGCAAAGCGGCGCAGAGCAACCTGAGTCCTGGAGACACCATCCTGGCCATCAATGGAGAAAGCACAGAGAGCATGACGCACATGGAGGCTCAGAACCGCATTAAAGCCTGCACAGATCAGCTGGTGCTGGCCATCTGCAGGTAGGCTGTTTGATTTATGCACCAAAACTCACTGCGATAAACAATATTATTGGAATCAAAAGACCAGGATTTAGACATTTGTAAATTGATGCATCTAAGAATCAAAATGTACCCCAAACCCTAGACCAATTTGGAGATATCTCACAGTTGCATCACTTGAGCTGTGCATGCAAACTGGTTGAAGAAAAAAATGACTCATTGAACTTAGTCTCAGCTGGGTCAGTTGGCGTTTCTGTGTGGAGTTTGCATGTTCTCCCTGTGTTGGTGTGGGTTTCCTCCGGGTGCTCCGGTTTCCCCCACAGTCCAAACACATGCACTGTAGGGGAATTGAATTGAAACAAAATTGGCTGAAGTGTATGAACACATGTGATATTACATTGATCTTTAGTTCAATTTTTTTGTGACGTCAGGTGACCAAAATATAACATCAATTTGTTGTCCATTACATTAACAATCATTTTAACATCATGATGTGACATTTATCTAACGTCAAAGTAACGTCATCAGTAGACATTTTTCTTTGATTGGTTTTATGTTGTGTGGACAAGCTAAAATTCAGCGTCACTTTAATGTCATATGGCCTATAGAATAAAAAAAAAAAAGCCACCATGAAAACCGAACCGAAAACCGTGTTAAAAAAACCGAGGGATGTATTGAACCGTGAGCTAACTGTACTGTTGCATCTCAAGTGGAGAAGTATGCAAACTTTTGGGGTTTTTTGCTGTTGCCATGGGGAAATCACACAGTATAAGAGCTCCATTGATCGTGGGATTTTATAGTCGGAGTGCTTGTAATTAACTCAGAGTCCATTTACTGCGAGGTAAATGGGCTTATTCATTTCAGCTGTTTTGCAAACAAAAACCACCGGCTGACCCGCCTTATTGAAACAGACCTAAGGTGATGCTCGCTTTCAGAAAGATAAAGCTATCATACAGTTAAAGGCTAAATCATGGGCCCTCATGGGAAACTTTTATTAGGTGATGTTTCAAGGAGTAAGGAAATTTTCTGTAAGCCCAACCTCAGAACCATTCAAATACAGTGTTGGTAGCATGATCTGATGGGTGGGATAAAATGTCAGGACACCGGCCCCTGCCTACCTTTAATTCTGTAAAATAACAGAAAATGTACTGGCAGGCTGCGTCCAAAACCGCCTACTACTCAGTAGGTACTGCATTTGAATTTAAACGTACTACTCGGCCGTTAGTAAAGTATGTTCTATACAGTATGAACATGAAAAGTATGATTGGAATTCGGACGTACTACATCCGCCATTTTGTCATCGTCACGAGACAAACCTGCGTCAGTTGCGTCGCTTTACTCCCATTCATGAATTCGCTCGCGGGGCATCATGGGATAGCGCAGCATGCATGCGATGCGCACTCCAGAATCTCGCCGGAAGTAGTAAGTCATCCGGGTACTTCTCGCATACTGATTTTCGAATTCTATGAATTCGGACATACTACTCGGCTCGCATACTGATTTTAGCATCCTATATAGTATGGAAGTATGCAGTTTCGAACGCAGCCGCAGTTTATTATGAGGTTTTTTTTTGCTAACTATGTAACATCAACCCAGACTATATATTACTAGCTATGTTTCCATCCACCTATGCAAATTTGCAAATGCGCATAAAAAAACAGTTGATGGAAACATCATGATGCGCATCAATTTTGAAATGCGCATAAAAACTTATGCGCCTAACTGGGTAGGATAAACTTTTTATTCGATAAGAAAAGATGTGCATAAACTGCGATGGAAACACTTTTACAGCACAAACTCCAGCATGGGCATTAAAAAAGGTCATGTGATTTTGTTGAAAGAGATCATGTGATGCTTAAAATGTGTGTGAATGGATAAATCGTCAGGCTGAGCACATTATAAAACATCTGAAATGTTGTTTTGGTCATTATTAAACGCCTTACCGTTTCAGTATTACTGTTATTATATTATTAATGACCTCCAGAATCAAGAGCGCCTGTGCTCCGCGTCTGACACCTTCAAACGCCACTGCGCGCTCACTGCTTGTCAGGATTGTCTTCTGAGGCGCATTCATTTAGAAAAGATTGATGCAGCTTCTCTACTGCAGCAAATGCAGGTTTTACTGTTGATATTTGGCGCCAGTTAATCAGGAAGTGACGATTTTGTTCGCTTTGACTCGTTGGATGGAAACGCTGCTTCATTCGCACAACTTATGCGATAATCCAGTTTTGCGCATAAAGTTTATTTGCATTTTTGGATGAAACATAGCTACTTTAAACTATTAAAATAGTTAATAAAAGTCACTTTTTCAGTTTTTTATGGTTAAAAGGTGTTGGATTAAAGATCAGGATCCCATAATGCAATTCTAAAGCATAAATAAACACAAAAAATGCTAAAAACATGAAACAAAAATACGGAAAACTGCTCATTTATCAATATTTTACATTGTAATACAGCACAGTAAGCAATGTTCATTCGTTCATTCATTCATTTCACTTTGGCTCAGTCCCTTATGTATCAGGGGTCACCACAGCGGAATGAACCACCAACTCTTCTTGCATTTGTTTTACACAGCGGATGCCCTTCCATCCACAACCCAGTACTGGAAAACACCTATACACATTCATTCACACACACACACACACACACACACACACACACACACACACACACACACACACACACACACTACAGCCAATTCAGTTTATTCAATTCACCAATAGCGCATGTGTGTGGGGGAAAACCACGCCAACATGGGGAGAACATGCAAACTCCACACTTACTGGCCCTGTGACCTTCTTGCTGTGAGGCGACGGTGCTAACCACTGAGCCATTGTGCCGCCAGTAAGCAATATGTAAGGGTGAAATGTGGAATTTGCTCCTGGAATTTCTTATCTTTTTCCTGTTATCTAAATTATTGGGCTGGGCAAAACGCCACTAGCTCTCATATTTATCCATTCATTTATTTTATTTTCGGCTTAGTCCCTTTATTAATCTGGGGTCGCCACAGCGGAATGAACCGCCAACCTATCTAGCATATGTTTTACGCAGCGGATGCCGTTCCAGCTGCAACCCATCACTGGGAAACACCCATACACTCCCACATATTTATCCAAACATCATTTATTTCCTTTTAGCCAACAGCCTTGATATTGTTCTTTACTCCACTGTAAGAAACTCTGAACATCCTTCTTTCCAAAACATCACAGCTGTCACTCATACTCAAAGACTCTCCTCTCCACACAAGCAGAACTTCTTTGCACGAGTGTGTGAGACTCACCGAGAGCCATCATACGCTCCATCTGGCCATATTTGGTGTGTGTTTTCTGCTCAAGCTGCTCTTGTTATTTGGAAAAGCCCTGACCTCCTGATAGACCTGCTCGTATATCATCTTCCGACAGTAAGTGGTACATTCGCTTAGGAGTAGTAAATTTATTTAAGGATACTCTGGGTTGTTTACACTGAGCATTCAGCTGGGAACTTTACAGACTCCTTTAGTTTTTTTTAAGTTATTTTTTTTCCTCCACAGCCGCTCACATTTCAAAACTTTCACAACTGTTTTACTGCACTGAATCTAAATTAGAGGCCAACAGTAACTCGAATTTTTTAAGAGCCCCTATTTTGCAATATAAAAGGTCATATTTTGGTTTCTGGGGTCTCTAGCAACAGGCTGATCTGCATGCAAGGCCAAAAAACACTTTCATTGTCTTATAATATGCATTTATTTTTACCTAATTATCCTGATGACTCTCATATAATTCGTTCAGCCATTCATTTGTTCCCAAACCCCTCCTTTGCGTGAAGATAATCTGCGCTGATTGGTCGGATGACCCAGTCTGTTTGGCCAACTGGGTTCAGCGCGAGACAGAGAGTAACACCTACCACAGTTATGAAGTAGCAGAGTTTAGAGTATATTGGCCCCTTTTCACTGAGTGGTACAGTATGGATTGGTACACTTTTATGGCTGAATCCAGTCAAAGAGTACCTAAAAGTGAACCGTACCACTACTTTTTGGGTAACACTATACAATAAGGCTCATTAGTTAATGCATTTACTAACATGAACTAATCATGAACAACACATGTACAGCATTTATTAATCAAACTAAACATATACTAAACATACTAATGCATTATTAACATTCAAGTCCATGCTTGTTAACATTAGTTAATGCACCATGAGTTAACATGAACTAACAATGAACTACTGTATTTTCATTAACTAACGTGAACAAATACAATAGTAGATGTATTGTTCATTGTTTTTTCATGTTAGTAAATGCATTAATTAACATTAACTAATGAACCTTATTGTAAAGTGTGACCAGTCTTTGATTACCCTTTGCAAAGGGTACTTAGCACGAAAAAAGGGTACCAAAAGGCAGAGCAAGGCGCACAGCTGAACACTTCATTTACAGGGACTCGTCACTCGCAGAAGCTGGAGAATGAAAACACAGGAACCACCATTTTTAAATACAAAGCCGAGACATTACACCGTAATAATATATACATGTAATAACAAGCCATGGTCAACCCGAGCTCAATTAAACCCATACCTGTCTACATTGGGATGTGAAAATAAGGGATATGTCCATTATAATAAGAGACGGCTGGGTCAGTTGGCATTTCTGTGTGGAGTTTGCATGTTCTCCCCATGTTGACGTGGGTTTCCTTCAGGTGCTCTGGTTTCTCAGCGAGGGGTTGCAGCTGTAAGGGCATCGGCTGCATAATACATATGCTGGATACAGTAAGTTGGCGGTTCATTCCGCTGTGGCGACCCTACATTAAATAAAGGAACTAAGCTGAAAAGAAAATTAATTAATTGAATGAATGGATGGATGGATGGATGGATGGATGGATGGATGGATGGATGGATGGATGGATGGATGGATGGATGGATGGATGGATGGATGGATGGATGGATGGATGGATGGATGGATGGATGGATTGAATGAATGAATGCATTCATTCATTAATTTAATTTAATTTAATTTAATTTAATTTAATTTAAATTATTCATTC